TTATTATTAAATCCAATTAATTTTCATTTCAACTCGAATCAAATTGAAAATTTTCCGCTGATATTTATCCGAATCGAGAGCAAAACAAAAATAACAAAAGTGATAAATAATCGCTTGGGAATTTTTCTAACTTTTATTTTATTCACTTGTGTGAACAACAATAAACAATTCTAGTGGGAATAGAGCCTTAACTCTATCGAGAGTTAAAAGAGTTTTTACGCAAAATAATATTAAAATTGGAATATAGATTATGACGTCATTAACCCCCTTCCCTAATCCAAATGTCAATTTAGCTAGACAAATGACAAGGTTTTTAAAATTAATAGGTTTGCACCGACAATTTTAAGGGAGGCTTAACGATACGAAGAACTTAAAATGACATTTCTACATGTAAAAATGTCACTTTAAGGAATACTTATCGTTAAGCTCTCCTTAAAATTGTCGGTGCAAACGGCCATGAGTTCGGCAGACAAGACAAGAACTGATTAACAGTATAACAGTAGGCTGACTTGGAAATTAATTTTGTGATTCTACTCTGACTGTTCTAAGTGCACTGATTCTTTTTAATCTGTTCAACTATTCGAACTACTTTGACTGTTTTATGGCCATTTCCACCGACTAATTTAGGGAAGCCCTAACGATAGGTATGCCTTAAACTGACATTTCTCCATGTAAAAATGTCATTTTAGGGAATACTTATCGTTAGGACTCCCCAAAATGGTTGGTGGAAACGGCCATTAATTCTGTTCCATTTGCACTAACTTGATCTAAATTACTCTAAGCATTCTATTTATTTGAATTCTTTTTATTGTTCGAGTTACTCTAAGTGTTCTAATTACTTTTATTTCTGTTCCATCTGTACTATCTCTGTTTTGTTTACACTGCTCTGATTGTTACTGTTCGAACTACTCTATTAATAATCAATGAATTTATTCACTATAACAGTAGGCTGATTTAAAAATTAATTTTAGGTTTTTAGTAATTCTACTCTGATTATTCCAAATGCACTGAATGATGAATATTTTAACTTATTAAAAAACTTTACTCTAGAGTGAGTTTTCAAAATTGTTCAAAACAACTCAGATCAGCAAATCAAATAAGGAAAATACCTTTTTGGAACGTCTTTGACACCAATTTAAGGCCATACGCCCAAAAAAAAAACACTCAAATTGAAAGCCGGGTTCCAAAAAATTCTGAATAAAAACTCGCCTCCGAACTGTTCTAGAGTGAGTTTGTAGAAGACTGTGAATAACTTGGAACAATGAAAAATGCCGAATGACCTTTTAAAAAGTGCTTGAAATTATTTCTAATAAAAAGAATCTTGTTCCAGAGTGAACTTTAAGACTGTTCGGAACGACTAAATAGGATGAAAAAACAATAATGGTGTTTCCGATTGGTAGATTCAGTGCGCACTGAGTGTATTTGCATCCTTTTAATCGACCTGTAGAAGAAAAAGACAGAAATAGAAAAAATTACACTAGTTCCGCACTAGATCTACCAATCGGAAACGCCATAAAAAATAGCTCTAAAATACTAAATCATCCCTGGAACATATAAAGTTAATAGAGTTTTGTGTTTAAAACTGTTCTAGAGTAGGAAAAGTAATAGCACAGGTTAAAAACTTGATTTATATCAGGATTTGGGACACAAACATGACTGTTCTAGAACAATACAAAGTATGTACGACATTGAACTAGTTCTGGAATTGTACTGAGATGATTCAAATCAGCCCCGAAACAGTTCCGAATTCGCATCCGATTTACTCTAGAACAATTATAGCGTGAAATAAGTTGAAAATAAATATATAAATTTTGTGTTCACAACTGTTCTCAAATGATATAAGAACCATCAAAAATGTGTTCCGGAGTAGGAAAAATAATGGCATCAATTAAAAACTTAATTTATGTCAGAATTTCAAACACAACGTAACTATTTTAGAACAATTTGAAATGTGTACAACATTGAATTAGTTTTCGAACTATACCGAGGCGATTCAAATTAGCTCCAAAACCGATCCGAATCAGTACCAATTTACTCTAGAACAATTAATTATAACCTGAAATAAATTCAGAAAATATTGTGTTTTTAGTAATAATTCTACTCTGACTGTTTCAAATGCACTAACTCATTTTGGTCTGTTCAACTGATCAAACTACTTTGACTGTTCTAATTCTGTTCCATTTGCACTATCTCTTTTTAAATTACTTCGAGCATTACATCTGGATTAATTTCATTTGAACTCCTTCTACTGTTCGAGTTACTCTGTGTGTTCCAATTGCTTTTGCACTATCTTTGTTATGTTTGTAGTGCTGCGATTATTACTGTTCGAACTACTCTAATATGCTACTAAACAATGAATTTATTCACTATAACAGTAGGCTGATTCAAAAATTAGTTTTGGGCTTTTAGTAATTCCACTCTGACTGTTCCAAGTGCATTGACTCTTTTTGATCTGTTTAACTCTCCAAACTACCTTGACTGTTCTAATTCTGTTTTATTTACACTATTAACTCGATTTAAATTGCTCTAATTTCTGTTCCATCTGCACTAATTTTGTTTTATTTGCACTGTTCCGATTGTTACTGTTTGAACTACTCTAATAGGCTACTAAACAATGAATTTATTCACTATAACAGTGGGCTAATTTGAAAATTAATTTTGAGCTTTTAGCAATTCTACTCTGACTGTTCCAAGTGCACTGACTCTTTAACTGTTTTAATTTTGTTCCATTTGCACTAACTAGATTTAAATTACTCAAAGCATTCCATCTGCATTAATTCCAATTGAATTCCTTCTATTGTTTGAGTTACTCTTAGTATTCCAATTGCTTTAATTTCTGTTTTATCTGCACTAACTGTGTTCTGTTTGCACTGCTCTGATTGTTACACCAAAATTAATTTTCGGTTTGCAGTAATTCTAGTCTTATTGTTCCAAATGCACTGACTCTTTTTGATCTGTTCAACTCTCCGAACTACTTTGACGGTTCTAATTTTGTTTTATTTGCACTAACTCGATTTAAATTACTCTAAGTATTTTATCTGCACTAATTCTATTTGAATTTCTCTATTGTTCGAATTACTTTAAGTGTTCCAATTGCTTCAATTTCTGTTCCATTTGTCCTAACTCTGTTCTGTTTGCACTGCTCTGATTATTACTTTTTAAACTATTTACTATAACAATGGGCTGATTTGAAAATTAATTTTGGGTTTTTAGTAATTCTACTCTGACTGTTTCAAGTGCACTGACTATTTATGATTTGTTCAACTGTCTAAACTATTTTGAATATTTTGATTGTTTTAATTCTGTTCCATTTGTACTAACTTAATTTAAATTACTCTAAGCATTCCATCTGCATTAATTCCATTTGAATTCCTTCTATTGTTCGAGTTACTCTAAGTGTTCCAATTGCTTTAGTTTCTGTTTCATGTAAAGTGTGTTTTTTTTTAAAGATAAAAGTCAAAATGACATTATGTTGGCAATACAATGTAAAATTGTCAATGGTTTCAAATTTTTTACGTAGAAAAGGCTATGTGTTGCCAACATAGTTACTAAATTTTTGACTTGGGGAATTATCTTTTAAAAAAAAAAACATACTTTATACTATTTCTGTTCTGTTTGCACTGTTCCGATTATTATTGTTCGAACTACTCTAATATGCTACTAAACAATGAATTTTCATTCACTATAACAGTAGGTTGATTTGAAAATTAATTTTGGGTTTTTAGTTATTCTACTCTAACTGTTCCAAGTGCACTGACTCTTTTTGATCTATTCAATTTTGACTGTTTCAATTCTGTTCCATTTGCACTAACTCGATTCAAATTACTTTGGGCATTCCATTTGAATTCCTTCTATTGTTCGAGTCACTCTAAGTGTTCCAATTGCTTTTATTTCTTTTCTATCTGCACTAACTCTGTTCTGTTTGCACTGCTCTGATTGTTACTGTTTGAACCACACTATTCCAGACTCTTGAATTTTTTTTTCGACCAAATTCAAGAGCCAGGAATAAAGAAAAATTGAGAAATTGAGTGAAAAAATTGGTATAAAAGTATTTTGTTCCAAAAATCGAGTACTCCACTGATACAAAATTGAGTCAAAAATTCCATATCGATATTTTTTCATATTAATATCGATCCCAAAAAAGCAATAGAGATTTTTGAAAAAATATCGTATCGATAGCTATGAATATCGATAAGCCCTTCTCTAGAATCCATCATAGTAGGATCTTTTTTTCTTGCCAGTGTTGCCAAATTAACATGTAACAACATATTTAAAGCCACAATTCCATTAGAATAAAAATATTCACTGTCTAAATCCAATCTATTTTTTTTTTTGTTCCGAAACTATACTCCGAACACTACTATTTCAAATACCTCGTTCCAAATTGACAACCGCCGTATAATTTATTTTCCGTCTCGTTATTTCCGAGCCAGAAAACATCCTCCTAAAAATAAAAATAAAAATAAACGGGCAAATACATCCATCCCATATAACATCGTGTCGCAATTTATATATCGAATAACATCGGGGGTTTTACGACACTCTGGAAATTCGAGACACGGCGATAAAATTGAGTTAATATTGAATGATTTGGTGCCCTCTAATAATAAAATATTATACTCGGTTAAATAAGGGCTTGTTTATTGGACGCTTTAATAAAAGTTGTTCGGAGTACTCCGATCATAATAATTTCATTAAAATCGTTTTAATAAATAATTTTTTTCAGAAAGATTGTATCGATTTCTACATCGAAATCCAGCTTATCGTTTGGCTAATGACTGGAAATAGAAATGTCAGGATTAAAGTGATTCTTTCTATTGTAAAAAATCGCCAGTTTATCATCGCACAAGTTTTAACTTTGTTCAAAGCAACTATAGAATTTAATTTTCCAGAGTCGAGCAATAAGGCAAAAACACGTTCTTTCTCTGTCTGGAAAACTTTTATAAAAATAATTCTTTTTAAGTGGAAAAGTTTTTGGTAATACAATTATTTTGTTTCAGATTAGAGTGAAATCATGTTCGGTTCGGAACCGGCCGAACAAGCAGAGCACTCCAGAGCGAAGTTCGAGTTGGCACGATGAGCCGCCGACAGAACCGGCGACGCTCATGGACCACTACGTCACTGTCTACTTCAGTGCGGGGCAGCGCGTCGAGTCGGCGCTGTTCAGGCCCAACACGCCCGTCGATCAAGTCAAAGGTAACTTACTCTAGATTTAGAACATACAGTACATATTTTTAAAAAGAAATCACTATATTTAACATCTGTCAATTTAATATAGAGTAAAACTTAAACTTCCTGATTAAATTCTCAATCAACTCTAGAACATACAGTACATGTTTGAAAAAAAATCGCTACATGTATTTGACATCTGTCAATTTAATATAAAACTACTCTAGAGTAGGAAAACTTTTTTTCCGAAAATTCCGGATTAAATTCTCGAACTGTTTGTGGGCGCTAAGACGTACGGTAAATCGATTTTATAGGGACGTCCGGCTCCGAGGCTCCACGAGCTTAACGACCTGGCAAATATTATTTTACGTGGGCAAGGTATAGGGACGGACAACAAAATTAGTCAAGGAAATGTCGATTTGGAATAATTATTAGGTTTCAATAATGTAGAGTAGGATTTGTGAACGCACCCTCACATGTTTAATTGTTTGAAGTTGTACAATTTTATTATTTGAATGTTACATGACCTACTAGAGATAACTTATTGAGTTTCTGGAGATTTTTAGTAACATGATCAAACTTTAGTGTCGTCAACAGAAAGAAAATAACCTAAATTTTACATGACCTACTTATGTTCTTAAAATTTCAGTCAAATAAGAAAATATGCACCAATAATGTTGCAGCTCTCATTATCGAACGCACCCTTTAAATATTCGACTTTTGACATTTGACGTGTTCTTATAATAAACATCAAGTGTGTTCAGTTATTCATATATTTAAATTATTTGAATTTTACATGGCCTACTAGAGGTAATTCGTTGAGTTTTAGCGTTGCCAATTGTGAAATTTCAGTACCAAGATCGAATTCCAGTGTTGCCAACAGAATGAAAATTACTCGAATTTTACATAGGTAGCCTACTTATGTTCCTAAAATTTCGGTCAAATTAAGAAAATATGCTCAATTCATGTTGCAGCTCTATTATCGAACGCACTCTTGAGTGTTCAACTTTTGACATTTGACGTTTTCTTACGACAAACATGAGGTACGTTCAGTAAACATAATATATTTGAATTTTACATGGCCTACTAGAAGTAACTTGTTAAGTTTGAGCATTGTCAATTACGAAATTTTAGTATCAAAATTAAACGTCAGTGACGCCAGCAGAAAGAAAATTATTTTTGGAGTTTTATATAGCCTACTAATATTTTTAAAATTTAAGTTAAATAAGAAAATAAAATACATATGCACTTTTCATGTTGCAGCTCTCATTATCGAACGCACTCCTAACTATTTGACTTTTGACATTTTCTTATAACATGGGGTGCATTCAGTAAATATATATTTAAATTACGTATTTGAATTTTACATGGTCTACTAAAGATCAACTCATTGAGTTTTAGTGTTGCCAATTGCAAACTTTCAGTACCAAAGTAAATCTTCACTGTTGTCAACAGAAAGAAAAGTACTTAAATTTTACAAGGCCTACTAATATTTTTAAAATTTCAGTCAAATAAAAAAATATGCACCATTCATGTTGCAGCTCACGTTATCGAACGCACTCATCAAATATTCCACATTTGACATTTAACATTTTCGTATGACACACATGGGGTGCGTTCAGTAATCATATTATATTTGAATTTTACATGGCCTACTAGAAGTAACTCATTGACTTTCAGTGTTGCCAATAATTATGAAATTTCAGTACCAAGGTCAAACTTCAGTGTCGCCAACAGAAAGAAAATTATTTAAATTTTACAAGGCCTACTAGTATCCTTAAAATTTTTGGTCGAATAAGCAAATAAGCATCATTCATGTTGCAGCTATCGTTATCGAACGCACCCTTCAAATGTTTCACATTTGACATTTGACGTTTTCGTATGACACACATGGGGTGCGTTCAGTAATCATATTATATACTCCTGGACAAAATTATCGCACCACTGCTTATGGTGCTTATGTGCAATGGTGGTGCGATAATTTTGTCCAGGAGTATATTTACATTATTTAAATTTTACATGGCCTACTAGAATATTTCTAAAATTTCAGTCAAATAAGAAAATATGCACCATTTATGTTGCAACTTTCGTTATCGAACGCACTCTTCAAATGTTCGATATTTGACATTTGAGGTTTTCTTATAACAAAATTGGCGTTCAGTAATCATATTATATTTAAATTATTCGAATAGAGGTAACTCATCGAGTTTCAGTGTTGCCAATAATTGTGAAATTTCAGTATCTAAGTCAAAATTCAGTGTTGTCAACAGAAAAAAAATTATTTGATTTCACAAGGCCTACTAATATTCTTAAAATTTCAGTCAAATAAGAAAATATGCACCATTCATGTTGCAGCTGTCGTTATCGAACGCACTCTTCAAATGTTCCATATTTGACATTTGACGTTTTCTTATGACATATATGAGATGGGTTCAGTAATCATATTATATTTAAATTATTTGAATTTCACATGACCTACTAGAAGTAATTCGTTGAGTTTCAGTGTTGCCAATAATTGTGAAATTTCAGTATCAAGGTCAAACTTCAGTGTTACCAACAGGAAGAATTTTACAAGACCTACTAATATTCTTAAAATTTCAGTCAAATAAGAAAATATGCACCATTCATGTTACAGCTCTCATTATCTAACGCACCCTTTAAATATTCGACTTTTGACATTTGACGTTTACTTATGACACGCATGGGGTGTGTCACGTAATCAGATATTTAAATCATTTGAATTTTACATAACTTATTAGTGGTTAACTCATTCGAATTTCAATGTTGCCATTTGCGAAATTTTACTACTAAGGTCGAATTCCAGTGTTGCCAATAGAATGAAAATTACTTGAATTTCACATGGCCTACTTATGTTTTTAAAATTTCAATCAAATTAAGAAAATATGCTCTACTCATGTTACAGCTCTTATTATCGAACGCACTCTCTAAATATTCGACTTTTGACATTTCACGTTTTCTTACGACAAGCATGGGATGCGTTCAGTAATCATTTTATATTTAAATTATTTAAATTTTACATTGGATACTAGAATATTCCTAAAACTTCAGTCAAATAAGAAAACATGCACCATTCATGTTGCAGTTGTCGTTATCGAACGCACTCATCAAATGTTCCACATTTGACATTTAACGTTTTCGTATGACACACATGCGGTGCGTTCAGTAATCATATTATATTTAAATTATTTGAATTTTACATGGCCTACTAGAGATAACTCATTGAGTTTCAGTGTTGCCAATAATTGTGAAATTTCAGTACCCAGGTTGTGTCGCCAACAGAAAGAAAATTATTTGAATTTCACAAGGCCTACTAGTATTCTTAAAATTCCAGTCAAATAAAAAATATGCACCATTCATGTTGCAGCTCTCATTATCGAACGCCTCCTAAAATTTTCGACTTTTGACGTTTTTTTTACATTTATGGGGTTCGTTCAGTAAACATATATTTGAATTTTCCATGGCCTACTTAAGGTGACTTGTTGAGTTTCAGTGTTGCCAATTGTAAAATTTTAATACCAAGGTCAAACGTCAATGTTGCCAATAGAAAGATAATTATTTGAATTTTACATGGCCTACTAATATTCTTAAAATTTCAGTCGGTATGTTTCAAAAAATTAACTTCACCTTCAAAAAATTGAATAAAACTCATGTTACAGCTCCCGTTATCGAATGCACTTTCAAATATTTGACTTTTGACATTGACGTTTTTTGACGACACACATGGGGTGCGTTCAGTAAACATGTATTCACATTATTTATTCGAATTTTATATGGCCTACTAGATACTCGTTGAGTTGCAGTGTTGCTAATTGTAAAATTTTAGTACCAAAATATTGACATTCTAGTGACATGACCTATTAAGATATGTAACTCCTTTCTCGTTCTGTGAACTTTCAGTTGCTATTTATAAAAACCTCGAATTTTGAGAAATAATTACACCTCTAGTTGTCGAACGCATTCTTAGATGTTCGACCTGTCTTTTTTTTTGACATTTGACATTTACGTTTTCTTACAACATGCATAGGGTGCGTTCTTTGTTCTTGACAGAATATTCTAGAAATATTTCAATAGTAACCATTACAAATTCATGTTGTAACTTATATCAGTCGTTATCGAACGCACTCTCACATTCGACTTGTCTTTTTGTGACATGTGACATTGACATTTTCTTATAACATGCATAGAGTGCGTTCACTGAACATTTTTCGTTTCAATTATATCTTTGTTTTTGACAAAATATTTTAAAAATGTTTCAATAGTTACCATTACAAATTCATATTGTAACTTGTATTTGTTGTTATCAATCGCACTTTCACGTTCAACTTGTCTTTTTTTGACATTTGACATTGACGTTTTTTCACGACATGCATAGGGTGCGTATACTGAACATTTTTCATTTTAATTGTATCTTTGTTTTTGACAGAATTTTCTAAAAATGTTTCAATAAAAATCATCACAAATTCATAATATAATTTTTAACGCACTTTAACGTTCGACTTGTTTTTTTTTTGACATTTGACATTGACGTTTTCTCACAACCATTACAAATTCATATTGTAACTTGTCGTTATCGAACGCACTGTCACGTACGACGTGCCTTTTTTTGCCATGTGACATTGACATTTTCTTATGACATGCGTAGGGTGCATTCACTGAACATTTTTTGTTTTAATTGTATATCTTTGTTTTTGACGGAAAATTCTAGAAATGTTTTAATAGTAACCATTACAAATTCATGTTGTAACTTGTATTTGTCTTTATCGAACGCACTCTCACGTTCGACTTGTCTTTTTTTGACATTTGATATTGACGTTTTCTCACGACATGCATAGGGTGTGTTCACTATATATTTTTCGTTTCAATTGTATCTTTGTTTTTAATGGAATATTCTAGTCATGTTTTAATAGTAACTGTTACAAATTCTTGTTGTAACTTGTATCTGTCGTTATCGAACATACTCTCACGTTAGACTTGTATTTTTTTGACATTTAACATTGATGTTTTCT